GTAAGAATGATGTCATATCTTCACTTAGTCCATTAAGCAACCTTCAACTCCTGGGCTCAAGTGATTCTCCTGCCTCTGCCTCCCAAGTAGCTGGGACTACAGGCACCTGCTACAATGCCTGGCTATTTTTTGGTTGCAGCCATCATTGTTGTTTGGCCAGTCCAGGTTGGATTCGAACCCACCAGCTCAGGTGTATGTGGCTGGCAGCTTACCCACTTGAGCCACAGGTGCCAAGCCAAAATGGGATCTATTTTTATTTATTTCCTAATTACTAAGGAAATGGACCTTTTTTCATGTATGATGTATAGTGTGTGGGAATGAGAGAACCTGAGAACACTTCTCTGGAGTGGCTATTTGGGAATCATTTTCTCCTGGAATTGGAGAAAAGGACTTTTACGTTCTTTTAGAGGAAAGCACTCCCGAACCCTTTAATTTTATAATCCTGGAAATATAATCAGTCATTGTGGACATCATTGAGGTCCCTTATAAATTGATACTCTTAACCTGTTTCTCAGGGTCAGCAAAAGCCAGATTACACTGTGTAGATCTATCAGAAAGTGCTCTTGTGACATCTATCCTAACATGTATGTGTGCTAAAAATTGGAGATTTTTAGATCTCCTTTAGATCTGAGGCTCATGAGTTACATGGATTTTGTGGAGATCTGAGTTGTCAGTCCTTCTACCTCGTGCCTAAGCTCTATCTTCCCAATAATATTCTAGTACCTTGAAATGGGAAAGAAAGCAAAAGGAAAAATTGAATGTTTGATAAATGTTACAAATACACGTTGAAATTAATGCTCCTCTAAAAGAATATTTTCACTTGGTCAGCTGAATCTGAGTACTTTTAATGGACTTAAGTAACTGCAGGACAATATGGTGAGTTAAACCTGTTACAAGTTGAATTGTCATAGGCCTCCTGCCCTCTTATGTATAATGAAAGGAATGGAAGAAAAAACTTACAGGTTTTCAGTGTGTATTTATTCATTAAAACCTCATCCTAGTTTGATTTTATGCCTTATGGAGTGCTGATTGATTTAGGTAATAAGAAAT